CTCCTGATGCAAAGAACTACTCTTTGTGCTTTCTGCCGGAAAGAGGATGAAATGGGGGTGGAAAAAAAAACAAAAAACAAAAAACAAAACAAACAAACAAACAAACAAAAAAAAAAACAAAAAAAAAAAAAAACAAAAAACAAACCCAACTGAGCAGTGCTGAGGGCAGGAGCTTCATTCTGCAGGGATGCTGTGGAGGGGGCTGGAGGCAGGACCCTGCCCGTGCTCACGCAGCGTGTGCCACCCGGTGAGCCCCTTCCGCAACCGCTAACGTGCTGCTGATTATATTTAATTAATTAGCAGCAGGTTGAGATTCCGGAATCAGACTTGTGCCGGTGGAGGAATACAAAACAACATGTTCTCCTGGCGTTGGAGCTCCTGTAACGGTGCCCGCGGCTCCGTTCGCCAAGGGAACGGGGAGCGATGACTCAGAAGATGCGCAGGCAGCAGCTGGCAGCACGGTGCCGGCTCCACGGAGGCTGAGCGCTCGGATTTGGTGCTCCCAAGCATGGACATCGTGTCCCTGCAGCGCCTTTCCATCCAGGAATGGTGTGGAAAAGGGTGACGAGTCCCCCAGGGACGTGGTGCCGAGGTGATGCGATGAGATCCATTTTCCACACCAGCCCTTTCTCGCTCTGTTATTTCTTCCCCTTATGAGATAATGCGCTGGGATGTTTTTTCTTTTCTGTTCCTTCACTGTTGCACTCTGGAAATCCAAACCTAAAAAATGCATTATTGGGGTTTTGTTTTTTTTTTCTTTTTTTTTCTTTTTTTTTTTTTTTTTTTTAATTACAGTGACTTGTACATCAAGAACGTGTCTATAACTTTCAGTGGGGTTTGTTACTGTATGAAACTTTGAGGCTTTTTCTGGTTTTGGCCCTGATTTTGTGACTTGGCAGGCATGTGCTTAATTTCAAAAACGCGGTCAGTCCTGCCACCTTCTCGGGAGCTGCTCGGGGTACCTGAAAGTTAAGCAGGTTTGTATTGCCCTATACTTATGCTATAATTATGATGTAAAATAATTTCTTCCTTTTCAGTTTCAAGAGACTGACCTATTGTTTGGTTTCTGGTACATCTTTAGTTTGGTTAATTCCTGTTAGTCCCCTTCATGTCCCTGCGAATACTAAAAAGAGGCTAAAACTAAATACTTGAAAGCATCAGAAAAAGGTTTGGGGATATTTAAAAGCCATCATTGTGTTTTATGGCTCTAGACTATCTCAGTTAAAGTACCTTCCATTTTTCTGTGATTTTTTTTTCCCCCCCCTCTTTTTTTTTGTGCTAACTGTGCTTATGCTCTCTCCCTGACAAGCTCACAAAAGAAACCCAAGAAAGCATCCAGCCAGGCAGATAAGGAAACAGATGTTGTAGAGTGCAAAGGTCAAATGAATACAGACAGCTCAGGAGAAAGGCTTTGCAAAACACTCGGAGGCTGAATAGGTGAAAATGAAGGTTTTTTGGAATGGGATTACAAAGGAGAAATCATTTTCCGTAGAGAAAAAAACCTACCTTAGCCTCCAAAAAATATCTCTCTGAATTCAGGGCAATAAAAGAGAAGGAATAATAACTTGCATTTTGGTAAAAGCAAAGCCCTGCCAGGCTTGTGGACTTGCTACAGGAGCACACGCAGCCTCTGCAGCTCTGCAACCCTGCAAAACCGTGCATTGTGCATTTAGCCTCTGATTTTCTCATCATTTTATGGTCTCTGCCACATAAGGAGTAATATGGAAATGCTCCAGTCTAGGAAAGCATTTAACAAACTGTGGTAAGTAGGACTTAATGTGTACCAGTCTAGCTGGCTGCTGACGTGGGATTGTTGCTTTCCTCCCCATTTCTGACTAATTTAACTTATTTCTGGCTTGTTAGGAAAGAGACAAGTCTTTAATTAAAATGCAGTTAATTCCAGCTTCATTGGTCTGGGTTGTATTTCACTGTTCCTTGCGTCGCAGGCAGAGACGGGACTTGTATTTATTTCATTAAAAATGCAGAATGCCACCAGGCGGTCCCCCTTCAGTACAGGCAGTGACTTGGGCTGCAGCGTTTGTCACGGCCGCCCGCAAAACCGCGCCCCGGATCATCCTCGTGGCTCCATCAGCCCAACCTGCCACCCCAAGCAGGGCTGGTGACAGGGGGCATTGCTAAATGCCTGGGTCTCTCTGTCCTTCTTGTAGCTTGGCCGTGGACCCCGCCACTGCTGATCCCTCCTGGTGATGCACAGCTCGTGGCCCCAGAGCGGGAGGGATGCAGAGCTGTGTCTTGGGTCTGGCCCCGCTGAACCACAGGGCTTGGTGGTTCCCATGTCATTTCATTATGATGATAAAAATTAATGAGCAATCTAGCTTCTCATCCCTCAACTATTAAACTGTGGCTGCATTCTGAAGTAGTGAAGGGCACGTCTGGGCTGTTAAACCCACGCTACGGGACGAGTAATGTTGCAGAGGTAAAATGCAAAGGGAGATTCAAATCACCGGTGTTTGCTATTTAAATCCCTTCAAACATCAATTATGATTGTCCTGATAAAGACAGGGCAGCATTCAAACAGATGCTGAACATGGTGCCTCTAGTGCATCTCTAGATAAGATTACAAAGAAGCTGTTGTTGTTCCTTAGTCCCAGCTGAAATCTAAATCTCAGCTAGTGCAGCTTGGAGGGTGAAACGTGTGCTGGCACTGGGGGGCACAGTATGGGATTTGTTTTCAAAGAATCAGGAAGTGCAGAAAGAGAGGTTCCTGAAAATAATAACTCTACATACAGCCCCTAACGAGGCATCTGGCAAGGGATTTCATATTCAAACACAGAGAGGGAAATCTAATCAGGACTTGCTAATTTTCATGAAGTCAAACACTTGGGATTCACTTCAGACTCGCATTTTCCTGGAATAATTCAACACAAACACTGTATATTTATACATGGACACTTGACTTTTCTGTTGTTTGATGAGACTACAATTTTTCTTCTTCTTGTGGTCACTGCAATCTTTCTTCTTCTGCAGTTTGCAGTTGAACTACCCGCCTCTGCCCCCAGGACCATTAATCTGTTATGCTTTGCATATTGTTGGTTCTTCAAAGAAAAGCAAACAATGCTTGTTTGAACAAGCCCACTTCACAAGCAGATTTTATTTGAACCAGGTCCTGCATAAAAGCAGAATCTAATCTAATCTCCATTGTCATGTACCTCTATTATTTTCCTCCTTATCATTGCTTCTCCATTTCTTCATCCTATGCAGTTCTTGTTCTTCAGAAACATCCTTCAAAACTACATAGAATTCAGATACTGCTTCTTTTTTATTCATATCTGCTGTGATACCTTATCTCAGCTAGATCTCCATTTAACATCTGGTTTTCCCTGGGTTGACAGATGTATTCTTTGAGCTGTAAATATTGCAAATCCGGGATACAGAAATTTTCTTACCCTGTGCATCTGATTGAGGTCCTTTTCTAATATCTTGCTGAAAATCGCAAGTCTCCCTTTCTTCCAACAGCCTCCATAGCTGTTTTTGGCTAAGATAAAACAGAAAGCGCAGTTTGGATCCCCTCCCTTGTTGTGTTTCCATCTCATGCAGTGCCCGGGGTAGGATGTCTGGTTGGGCAGGCAGATTTTGCAGGCAGGTCTGCAGATTGCCCCAACCCACTGCACCGTTGCCCGCTGGTGTCCAGCTCAGCCCACAGCAGGCTGGATGCCGCGTGGAACCTTTTCTTCACCATGAGCTCTGACAAAGCTGGTGCCTTGTGTTTTAGCTGAAGATGTGGTCTGGAAAGATTTGAACTTTGGTTTCCGAGAACTGGAAGCTCAAGGTGTTAGAAATCAGTGCAATTAAACCACTGCTGATCTGTGGGATTTGGGGTTGCTGTGGTGGCTCTCTCCTCTTGGTTGAAGTACCTGATTGCTCATGGCCATATCCTGATGTGCTTGGGCCAAAGCAGGTGTTGACTGCGGAGCCAGAGACCACCTCGAGCCGAGCACCTACCCAGACTTTCTCTTCTTGGGAGGCAGCAGCGTGGTGCTGGCCTTGGCCGGGATCAAAGCGGTGATGATGGTTTCCAACACTGTGGCCTCTCCTTGCTGCCAGCTCAACCAGAAGACCTCTCCCCAGGGACAGATCAGTGCCACAGCCGTGATTCTCTGAGGAGATGGGGGACTAACACAACAGAGATGGGGTGTGTGACCTGCAAAGCTGAGCATCAAGCTGGGAAGAGCGTGGCGACGTCTCCCCAGAGACGTGGGGTCTGTACCCACTGACTGCGCCTGGTTTCAGGAGCGGGGGGAAGCTTCTCCCATTACCTCACCCTGAAGTGCAGGTCTTGTCATCCTGCCGAGCTCAGTGTCCCCACGGCAGAGGCTTCACTGCAAAACCTCGTTTTGCTCGTGAGCATCCCAGCAAAATAAACTGGCTGGCTTTGTGGCTGTGTCCCCAGCTGCCCCGGGCCACCCCTGGGACTGCCTCGCTGGTGCTCACGCGGGCGGGGACAGCGAGGCAGGGAACTGTGCCTGTTTGCACACACGCGTGCAGGGACACAGGGGCACGTGGCATGGGAAGTCCCTTTGATTCCTCAAGCAGAGGCCTGCGCGTAGGGTCCTTTTCATTGCACAACAGGTTAAAAAATGGAGCCGCTGAGATGTATCTTAACCAGGAAGAGATCTGGAGGCAGGGGGAGGATGAAATGCACAGTCAGTTTGAAAGATGCTTTGAAAGGGAGTAAAACTTGCTATCAGGCTTCCCTCTGAGATCAAGTCCAATCTCTTCCTTTCTTTCTTTTGGTGCTGTGTTATTCCTCTGTGGCTAGAAGGCTGCAGGCATTTCAATTCTCTGTTTCAAGCCCTTGTTTCAAAAAGGGCCCAGAATATGTTTTCTTCTAAGACACAGCAAATGGGAAGAGCACAATGCAGCTGTCTCTAAGCCTCCCTTCTCCTGTCTCAGGGAGAAAGGAATTCACCAAGCCCTAGAGCCTGACTCACTCACTGTGTGAGCATGAATTAACCAGGAATGTTCGAGAATTATTCCTGAATAATTCATGAACCTGAATTAATCATGCATTTTCATGAATTATTCATGAATAACTCATGGAAATGCAAGGTTTATTCATGCTCCAAAAAACCCAAGGCTTTTTCTCTTCTCTTCTGCTCTCTCTCCCTGTAAGAAACAGACCTGAAACAAGCTAATGAAAAAAAAAAAATGTATATGGAAAAATAACAGGAATAATAATGCTGAAACAGAACAACCAGGAAAAAAGAAAGCAAAGGGTCTTTTTTTTTTTTTTTTTCCTTTGCAGTGGGGACGGCAGGTGGGAGCTTTCTAAGCTGGACAAAGGAGACCTGACAAGGAACTGTGGTGAAGGGACAAGCCCAAGGCAAAGAAGTGTCTGGTCCCCTCCTCTCCTGGAGCAGGCAGCTGAGATCTGCATAGACAGGAGACATTTTGCAAGACTCAACACCTGGAGCAGTGCTAACCAGGCAAGGACTGAGCTCTATTGCTATCAGGATTTTGATCTCTCTCTCTCTCTCTCTTTATTTCTCTCTGTGTTTGTGCATTTGTGTAGTTTTGTTGCATTTGTTAAGATAAATGAGCAACTGGTAAGTGGGGCAGGAGGGAGCAGCAGCAGTTGTGAAGATCAGTGTTTTTTCTTTAAATGTTAAAGAAAGGAAAATCCCTCTAGCGAGCTTTTTGGGGTTGGGGTTGTTTGCTGTTTGGAATATGGGGCTGTCTAAAGCGGAGCTGTGTTTCTGGGAGGGACAGGTCTCAGTTATGCATTTATTCCAGTTTCCTGGTCTGTAACCTTCCCTGGGCTCAGGAGAGGGCTGGGTGCAGCTGCCCGCTGCAGAGCATCCAGCAGCAGGGAAGGGGAGGTGGGGAGCGAGGCAGTTACCACACAATTAATTTATATATGGTGCTTCCTTATAAAAATAAACCCCAGAGTGTGACTTGGCTGAGAGAAAAGGATTGGAGTGAGCCTGGTGTGAGTCAGTGACAGCAGGGCAGGCTGGCAGATTCGGGGAAAGTTACAGTCTCTGCAAGCAGCTTTGCTGGAGATGATGATGGGGGGGGGGGGGGGGGGGGAAGGAGAAAGAGAAAGTTCCCCAGGGTGAACTGAACCTTCCAAATGAGAAGAATCAAACCCAGGCTTGATTTTAATGAGGGTGTGGAGGCAAAACAAGAGACTGCAATAAATTGGGTCGCAGCTGCCTTTCCTGACAGCTTGTCCCTGCTCCAGCTCTCCTCTCCCTGTCCCAGCTCCCTCCCGTGGGCTTTGGACACTGCGGCCATCCACACATTGCCCAGTGCAGGGGCTCAGCCCCGTTCCCCAAAACTCTTCTGCCAAATCCTGCTGCAGAGCAGGATGGTCTGGGGTGATGCTCTGCCAGGGCCCTCAGGAGCTCTGGCAGTTGGTTTCTGCCTGGTTTTGTCCCCATCCACCGTGTGTTGGTTGAAACTTGGAAAGAAATCCTCTCTAAACCCAGCAGCCCTTAGCTCCTCAGCTGTCCTGTGGCTCAGAAGGTTTTGAAAGTCACAATTAGTCTGGCTGATTGTCGAGAACTCCCATTTCTCCAGTGATTTCAGCCTGCAGCTCTAAGGGGAGAAACAGGGTATCTCAGGGGGCAGAGCAGTCGGCCAGGACCCAGGAGACCAGCTTTGCTACTTGTCTGCCTTAGATGTGTATGTCGCTGGTCCATGCCTCAGTTTCCCCATGTGTGAGACAGAGGTGTAATGTGTTGCCTTCCTTATCAAAGCACTTTGACATTTACTGGAGAAAATAACTGTAGAGGCAAAGGAATGATCATTTTCTGGAATACACCTGGCTCTTTTTGAGTCTCTTCTCTATACTGCCTTGATATACATATATAATCCTTCACTGTAGCAAATTGCAGTAGACCCCCTGAAGTCTTCTGAGCTGTGCTGGTTCGCATGGGCAAAGGAACCAGCCTGTCTCTGCTTGATGGCTTATCCAGCATCTGCTCGATGCATCCTGAGTGAGAGCTGGTCCTGCCTGACCCCAGGTGACACATGTCATGGCTGGAGCTGCATTTCCTCTTCAAATTAAGCTGAGGCACACGGAGCTGTGCCCGGGTCAGTCCCAGGACAACCTTCCAGGGAAGGGGTTTAGGACAAGGCAAGCACAGAGGAGCAGGAAGGAGAAATAATGGGCAGAAAAGATGTAGGGATAAACACTTTATATCTGCAGGCTGCGGTCTCTCAGATAGAGCATCATTTGCTTGTGCTCCCAACCATGGGAGCGCACAAAGCCGTGCGGTGATGCTCTCCTCCCGCACCAGGTGAGCAGCCCCGATGTCGGCCAAGCTCTACGTCCTCATCAGCTGGCCCGACGGCAGCCGGGTGATCAACATCGAGAACATCAAGGAGCCCCGCAAGCCCTTCCACCTCTACGCGGTGGGTGAGCAGGTGCTGGCCCGCTGCCCCGGCTTCAGCGGGCTCTACTGGGGGATGGTGGAAGGTATAAGTGGTGAGTGACACCCCTCTGTCTCGGGCTTTGCAACTTGGGGCTGCTTGGGAGCAACCTTTAGGGAATGAATTAATTGCTGAAAAGTTCTCTCTTCCTACAGAGCATAAAGATATTTTAGAGAAGAAGCTGCTGGAAGGTAGACAGCTCCTGGAGAAGTTAAGTGAGTCGGGTCTTTTGAAGACTGCACTTTTCTACCTCCATCGGGCTTTTGGGGTGGGAGGATGCAGTGCGTTGTAGTCCTGGCATAAATTTCACAAGATCCATGTAAAAAATATCGAACGGGAGGCGGGAGATACACAACACTGATACCCCATTGCACATCTTGAGTGTCTGCCTTGCTTTCAGAAGAAGAACCAGCTGTCCACACCATGATGCCACCCCAGCCAAAAAAATCCAGGAAAACCTTTCCAAAATGGACCCCGGGGAATGCGTCCAGGAAATACCACGGTGACAGGACTTACCCTGCCAAGCCACTGCTGAGGGTGACTGAGGCCAACCTGCCCCATGACGCTGGCAGCTCCTCCATCAACAAGGAGAGACGTGCCCTGGGCATCGTGGCAGGAAGCCCTCGCTCGCTGGCGGGGCCTCCCCACCCAGCCAGCGCCTTCACACCCCCATCCACATTTGTCACCATGGCCATGCCGGGGACTTCCCAGGGTGAAGAGGACAGGGCTGGTCCAGCTACTAGAGGTATAATCATGGCTGTAAATTAGAACATTGGCTTTTAGTTCTCTTCTGCCTCATCCAGAATGGGAGGTTGGGATGGGGACTCGCAGAGGTGCCAGGAGACCTCTGCTTTGCTCCAGGGCTGCTTGTGCTTTCTTCCAGGGCTACAAAGGTTAGGGATGAAATTTTCAGGTCCTTTCTACCTGGGAGATCTCCCAGGTCTAAAGGGAGTTGTCTGTGAGATAGCATATGGTGTCTGTTCTACCAGACGCCAACTCTGTCTCCTGGGCTAGTAGTTCTTTCCCCACAAGCCAAAAAGCAGTCTAGCCTGTCTAAATAACTGTGAAATACCCCAAAGTATTGTGTCTCAAACCTTCTCAAATTTGCCTATTTCCCTGCTTTTCCAGCCACTACTACATACATTAAACACACCTATAAAAATATGATAGCACATCATCTACCTGCAAACTAACAACAGTATCCAGAGACACATTGGCTCTGCTTGCCTTGCCATGTCTTTTGTGATGGCAATAGAAGAAGCCCTTGAGATACCAGCTTTTTCTAATAACAAAACCCCTATTGTTCAATCCTAGAAAGAGTGTCTGAATCAGTCTGTTTATGCAAAGGGAATAACGTGATGCCATGCAATCTAGCAGGAGTGTTTAGATAATCTGTTCTGGAGACCGATGGATTCAGGACTGTTTCAACAGGGGCTTGTTCAGCTTCTCTCCCATCCCTGCCTGTAGATTATGTTGCCCTGGCAATGAAGAGGAAGTCAGATGGCACCTTGTCCCAGTGCCAGCAACACATCTGTCTGAACAGGTAACACTTGAAAGCACGGTGAGGACCCTGAGTGTTTCACACCATGTATAGTTATTTCATAGTGTGGGGTCTATCCATTCTGTTCCCATGCCCCAGCAGTGCTCACTTTGGATGACGTTAGCGCAGGAATAAATGCTAAATGCAAAAGATAATGGGAATTTGTGCAGGCACATCTATGCTGCAGAGCAATTGAGTCCCTCGTGCTCTGGAATCCTGATCCTTTGGTGGGTCAGATGGGAGCCCCCCCCCCCCCCCCAGTATCTGTGTGCCAGGGGTTCCTCTGCGAGGAAAGAGCGGTGCACAGGAGGTTGTCCACGTGAAGAACCATATGGTTCCAGGGTGGTGAAACACTGGAACAGGTTGCCCAGAGAGGTGGTAGATGCTTCATCCCTGGAAAAATTCAAGGCCAGGTTGGATGGGGCTCTGAGCAACCTGACCTGGTTGAAGATGTTCCTGCTTTTTTCAGGGGGGTTGGAGTAAATGACTTTTAAAGGTCCTTTCCAACCCAACCCATTCTACGATTCTAACTATTGCTATTTCCTCTCAATCCATTTTATTCTTGCGGTAAATGCAAACAGAATTGACTTTGAATTCCAACCTTTGAATTACAGATAATTCTTATCAGGAATGAATATGAATATGAACATGAACTGTTTCTTGTGGCAATTGTTTTTTAGCTTGCTTGTTTCTTCCAGCTGTGAAGAGCGAAAGCTTGATGCTTTGCAAGACATGGATGACTTTGAAAGAGTTCAGAAAAATTTTGGTCCTGGTGAAATGGAAAGGTAATTAGCAAAAGAAGGCACTTGTTCTTAAGTATATTTTCCTCCTCACTGTAACAAAGAGCAGTGAGACCACAGCTGAGTGACAAAATGGTGCAATTTTAGAACCAAGAGCTGCTGAATCTCTGTATAATCAATGCCAGGTGTTTCTTTCTGATTGTAGGGTTTTGAGTTAGAGATGCAAGAAGGCTGTAAAGCAGCACAGAGACCACAAAGCTCTTGACTATAACAAAATGACATCTATCGTGTTTGAACATGGTTGTGTGTTGCTTGCCTTAACCTCTTACTTTGATGACAAGTATTCAGTGATGAAGTAACTGCTAGAGACAGATTTCCTGCAAAGAAATGGGTGCCAAAAAATCACGTTCCAGTACTTGCATTTTCCCACACGTCTGTTGTTTCATACCACAAATATGTACCTCCTGGGACTTGCAGGACAGAGCTTATATCTTCCCTTAAAGCTGAAAAGAAAATTGAGCATCAAAGTCTCCATGCATGTGTGACAAGAGGCGGTTGAGGGTTAAACTCTGAACATTTCTGAGCTACTGAAAAGTCCAGACCATGTAATTCTTCTCTCCTACATTGCTCCTCATCCAAGAATAGCTGGATGGGCTCACACTCTGGCAGAAGAGTTGTCCTGTCCCTGCTTGCAGGAGGCATGTAATCACTGCTTGGGTGGATGTCCTGGGTTGAGTGAGTGGTGGAGCTTTTTGGTGGCAGGGGAGGGGGCTATCGGGGCGGCCCCCTGTGAGAAGCTTCTCGAAGCTCCCCCAGCTCCACGTCAGCTCCACTTCTGTTTGGGAAATTGAGCCAATCGGCTGCGCCTCTGCGATAACGTATTTCAGAAGGGACGTGGTGACGGGCAGTCAGACTTGTGAGGAGGAGTTGCTGCAGCTGCGTGAACACCAAGGTCAGTGGAGGAACGGAGGAAGAAAGGAGGGGGGAGGTGTGCCGGAGCAGAGACCCCCCTGTATCCTGTGGTGAGACGGCAGGGCGGCACCCCCTGCCACCCATGAAGATCTACAGTGGAGCAGACATTGATTTATGGCCTGTGGCTTCTGCTCAGATGATCAAGGTGCTGTACCCGAAGAAGGCCGGGGTCTCGTGGGAAAAGGCAGCCCCGCTGCTGTAATTCAGCGCTGGGAGGATTGCAGCATGTGGGGGTGTCCCACACCGGAGCAGCTCGGGAAGGGCTGCAGCCGTGGGAGGGAATCCAGTCGGAGGAAGTTAGTGACCCATGACGGAGCAGTGTGGGGAACGCTGCGGCCTGTGGGAGGGACTCATGTCGGAGAAAGTTTGTGGAGGACTGTCTCCTGTGAGAGGGGGACCACGATGGAGCAGGGGGAACAAGTTTTGGACACTCCCCCCACCGAAGATGAAGGAAGTGGCAGCACTGACTGCACCTCCCATTCCCTGCCCCTGCGCCACTGGGGGAGGAGGTAGAGATATCGGGAGCAGAGCTGAGCCCGGGAAGAAGGGAGGGGTGGGGGAAGGTGTTCTCAAGGTGTGGCAATGCTTCTCACTCTCCTACTCTGTTATGTGTTGTTAGTGTCTGTAATAAATGTATGTTCTTTTTTCTCTTCCCCTAACGAGTCTGCCTTTTGCTCGTGATCATAAAGGGGAATTTTTCCCCATCCCAGTCCTATCTTGAACCCCAAGCCTGGCTCTCTGTCCCTTCTCATTGCCGGAGGGGAAGGGAGAGAGAGCTGCTGCATTGTGGTTGGCTGCCAATCAGGCCCAAACCACGACAGTGGAGGTGCTACATCCTTTAGCAATATCCACAGAGAGGCCATGATGACTTCTCAACTTTACACATGTAATTTTAATTTTTCAGGTCCGAGAAGATAGAGCAGCTGGAGAGGATGGTGTTGGACCTCCAACAGGATGTCCTCTCTCTGAAGAAGAAGGTGCAAAGGCTGGAATCCCTGTCCTTCCAGGAGGACCCCCACCGGCAGCCATGCGAGGTGGTGGAGCTCTTCAACGGCTACACTAAGGAACAGCTCAAAGAGACCATCCGCTTTGACCAGAAAATCAGCACTGCCTGCAAGACACTGCTCTACAAGCTCTTCACATCCGACTACATCCAGAGCCACTCCATCACAGGGCGGAGGGGAAATACTTTCCGAGAGGCAAAGCCCATGATGGATGAACGCTGCATCAAAATCATTAGGGTGCTGTTGAAACAGAAGTTTGGTGATCACCTCAGTGACACAGTGATCACGGAGAAGATCCAAAATGTGCAGAAAGCCCTGAGGCAGAAGTTTAAGACGGAATGTCTCTGATGCACGGGGGACTTGGTGCCTCTTCCTACCATGCTCATCGGTGTACCTGAGCAGCCCTTCCAGAAAAGATGAGTCCAATCTGCTGCTGCTCAGCTGATTCCCCCCCAAGGAGCCAACCCAAGTGAACTGCGCATTAAACAAAGCATAAACCTTTTGCTGCCAAACCTCTGCCTGCATTAATTGAGCGGGAAGTTTGCCCAGCTTGGCAAGGTTTTTGCACATCTGCTAGCACTTTACAAGTTCCTTTCCGTCCCAGTCTGTGTGCAAACCTCACTGCAGGGTGCATGTAATGATCTCCGGGCCTTTTTGATGGACATGCTCAAGAGCTTGAGGGTTCCTGTTGGGTCCAAGTACGGGTCAGTAAGTCAGCTTTGTTCCACCTTGCAGTGGGTTAGGGAGAAAGGTTGGCTCTGGGGCAGGGAGTCCATCCACAGATGGGCTTTGTGTCACCCGACATGGCTTCTCTCTGCATGCCTGTGGTTGTCTCCTCCTGCCTGTGGGATATTTTTTGCTCTTTTTGCTCCCAGTGAATGTGTTTTACAATTTCCTGCAGTAGTAGAAAGGCGGGCCCATTAAAACGACACGATAAAACATTCAGAGAAAGATAATTTCATTTTTTCCTCTGTTTTAACATAGCTGTACGGAAGAAATGCCTTCACTAACAAAAGTCTGCTGAACGAGAGAAGTCGTCACCCATGGAAATAACTTTGCATTAATTTTCCTTTCAAAACCAGATTATTTCCATGGAGAAATCCTATACATTTTTATGACGTAAGTGTGGAGATGAAGGGCAAAATATGGCCCACTGTAGCTACACCTTTCCTGCAAAGAGCAGACATATCATGAACACAGTTGCTATAATTTATATATAGTATTTATATCCTAGTTAAGAAATTCCAGGTGCAACCAGGAGTTTAGCTGTGTGAGAGGCTATAGGGAAGGGCTGGAAAGGCATGTATTTTCCTAAATAACTCAGAGCTGGAGTTTAGGTGGGTTAAAAGCATTTTTAACATTAAAAGAATAGGATGCTGACACCAGTCCACCTAATAGAAGTGCTGCAAAATACCAAACATTCCCTTTTAAAGAGGCTTCTGAGACAAGAAATTGGTTTTCTAAGTTTAATTTTCAAATTATTTAGGAAAGGAAATGTCAGTTGTTTTGCATTAATCAAAACATTTGTTTTAATTTATATGTTTTGTTCTGTTTTCAGGTTTTAATTTATTCACAGCTACAGGAGAAATAATAATGCAAAATAAATGTATTCAAAAACAAGGAGCTGTTTTTAAAGAAAAAATGGGAATGTGTTATTTTCAGAATTTCCCCCCCTCCACCCCCTTTTCTCTAGTTGAAAAACAAAATCATTAAAGTAGGGTTAATGCTATGAAGCATTTTGAGTTTGGTGGAAGATATGCTTGCCAATGTTTTTGGCACTATTTTCATCAGATGTGTTTAACAGCCATGCTAAATTGCCGTAGCCAATAACTAAAGCTATTCCTTCTGTTTTCCTGGTGCAAATGCTTTTCCTAACTCTCTATTATGCAAACATGCCAGTGATGATTTCTCATTTGTATGGACCTTGACTTGAGCAGCAGCTGGAGCAGGTCTACTGTGATCACTTAAAGCCAAGGGTGCAGCCAGACCTTGAAAATACGCTCAACCTGAGCAGAACTGCCCCAAAACCTCCTCAACGCAGAAACACCCCTTAAAATACGGCTGCCTTGCCAGAAACGTGTTACCTTCCCACTGCAGGCACAGCCTGCGGGTATCGCTGCCCAAGGAGACACCCCAGGAGATCTTTTCAATGTTGACTTATCAAAGGGAAGGTTGAGGAGGCACAAACAGCCTTGTTCTGCGGGCACTTGCTTTAGCATCAGCCCTTGGGGATTTCTCACACCTTCCCTGCAGATTCTGCTTCTCATTTCCCCAGCGACACGGCAGCAGGGAGGGATGGAGAAGATGGGTGCCTCAGACCCACCCCAGCGAGGGACCGCCAGCACCTCCGGCATGGCCAGGGCTGCATCCAAGCCATTTTCCTGCGCGCACGTTTTTGCCTTAATCTCCCCTGCCAGTGCTTCATCAGACCCCTCGCCAAACCTTGAAAGCCAGCTCACAAATGTTATTTATTAAAACATCTGCTTCTGCTGTCCTCCCCTGCTGAGCCCCCTCTGACGGGCTGCAGATCATTACTGCAAAAGGAGGGAGAAAAAAGACCGAGAGGATGGACTTGCTGCGGGGAGCGATGGCTCCCGAAACGAGTCGTCTCTAATCAGCTCCTCTGGAAGCAGATGAGCCGGGTGACCTTTCTGCTTGAAAGGCCCTTTGGTGGCTTCCTCGGAGGTAAACTTCACAGCCTAACACCCTTACTGATATTCAGCGAGTGCTCCCGTGCAGCGGGGCCGGTGGCGGGGGCTGACGGATGCTCCCCGGCTCAGTGTGCAGCACGGCCACGGCACTAACGAGCTGACACTCAAACAGGCCCTTCTCAGCCATAAAAGTTGTCCTTAGCTACTCTCGAATGCTTTGATACAGCGGAGAGGGCTGAAGAAAGGCAACGCAGGCGGCTTTTCGTTAAACTTCGTTTTTAAGGCATTTGTGAACCGGAGGCAGTGTTTCCAGGCTAATTGGGAGCGCTCGCAGACACCGACAATCAAACGTCACCGCGAGGATGCCGATGCTCTCACCTCCCTGAACTCCAGCTCTGGCTAATCAGCCTCGAGAGGGAAGATCATACAGTGCTGAGATGTGGCAGCCCTTTGGGGATGAAGGGGTCAGGGAAGATAGAGGAGGAGGAGGAGGGAACTACTTCACTTGGGGATGTTCAAAGCCTGTGTTGCTCTAAGTGACGCAGGGCAGCTCCATTGAATTGCGTTAACCTCCCATTTTAAAATAATTACTGGGGGAAGCTGGACAGGTCTTTCTGTTGAGATGAATTGCTCAGCTGAATACACAGCACCTTGTTGAAAACGATACTCCTGCTCAGCTTCTGGGCTCTCCGGGTACAGGAGAACGTGGGCAGTGAAAACTAGGGTGAAAACTCCGAGTGGTCTTCAAGGAGGTTTTGCACTTGGTTCAAAAGCAAGCAGAAATGGGACTCATCAACCTCTGCAAATATAGGACAGGCATGAAACGTCCGGTCTCCCCTCCTTTCAACAGGAACCAGAGCAGCAATGCTGTCCTCAGTGGTTTGCATGATTCAACCAGGGTGTGCAGGAACTGAGCAGGGACCTTACAGGGCTCTGGGGCTCTCAGAAGGTCCCAGCACCCCAAAACGCTGTAGTGGGGCGCTGCTGCCCACCACCCACTGTGTAGTCACACCTCTTTTGTTTCCTTAGGAACTGGCTGAAAGCTGCGTGTTGCTGACTGGCAGCAATGGTGCTGGCAATACATAGGTTTTTAGGGGAAAAAATGGGAGCCTTCCCAGCCTGCTGTACATCAGCCTTTACAGTGCAGCTGGGCCGCAGCACGAAGCTTCTGCAATTTCCAGTTGCAGAGCTGCTGCTGATGGGATTGCTGACTTCAAGTGGGGAAAAAACCAACCAACCAACCAAACAAACCAAAACCAAAAAACAAACATTCAGAATAAGAGGGAAATTCTCTTGTCTTTAACCCCATTTATTTCAATTTTATGTCTTTGACTCTGCCAGGGGCATTTCAGTGTACAACACAGGCAGATTTTAATTTGCCCATTTCTTGGCCTGCAAAAAACCCATACCCCTAAGTGTCTCAGTGTCTGCATCCCCCTAGAAACTGTAACACACGAGTTCAATGAAAACATGAAAACTGTGAGTGTCAGCTAAAGAACTGATGTTAAAATGTAACTAAACCGCTTCTTGGCTTTTAGTCAAGCCTTGCAAAGCCTGTCTGCCTTTACACCAATCCCAGGGAGCCGCCGCTGAGGCCACCCGATGCTCCGAAGCTTGATGGATGCGCTCGGAAAAATCTTCTCATGCAAAATTAGCGGTGCAGCGGGTGGTGGAAGTGTCTTGTGCTCGCGGCTTCATCTGGTTTGAGATCCTCTGTCAGGGACGTGACCTACAGAGAGCTCAGCTTGGCGGGGGGGATGGTCAATGAAATATTAAAAAGACAAGCCTTGGTCTGTACGAGCTTGAAGCTGTGTGCCATCTCCCACTGGCATTCCAGACACAAATATTCAGTGTCATGAGAAGATTTTGTTGTTGCTGTTCTGATAATTCTTTATCTTATTTGGCTTCAAAAAGACAGTGAAAGAGAGAAAATGTACGTGGAGGTGTGGCCCCAGAGCTATATGCATGTATTGTATTTGCACTTTTGGAATATTTTTTTACAAAAGTAATTTTTTGGACCATTTAAAATTTTTCTTGAAAGCATACCTGCATATTTTTTTGAGAGTGCACACACATACCTGGTAGGTGTGCAAATAAATCAGATTTAATAACTTTAAGCAATTTTTCATGTCTCTGCTTCTGTCGCGTTCATTAAACATAACTTTTACCAATATTTCTCTGACTGCAGTACATGGTTACATTATTCTGACTCATATCTCTTTATCTCCCCCATCTATTCAGAGTCAAATGGAACTGGGGAGGTTGTTATCAAAACGCAGAAAGCATAGAAATAAAATTAAGCATAGCACCAGTTCTCTGTGTGCTGAATACACTGAGGAAATGAAAGAACCTTCCACTTCTAATAAGATCTGGATGTGAATTGCCTCATAAGAGCTTAAATGAATTATATTCAGAGACCAAAAAGAGAGAAGAGAGAGCTCGGAGCCCTCCGACTGCAGGGTGAGGCTCTCACTGCCTTGATGTGTAGCACATCTAAACATGCCATGAAAGCTTCAGAACAAGGTGTGACGTTCTGCTCAGAAAGTGAGCTTCAGGACTTGCTGAAACGCTTGAGTCACGGGTCCAGAGGTGGTTAGAGCCCCTCCCAATGAAATATTAATCCCATTGAGGTTGCCGGAGCTCTTCCTGATACCTTCTGAGGGTTCAACCATCACTTTGGCTCTTGCCCAAGTGCCCTGATGGTGGAGGAAGGACCCTGCAGAGGAGCGGTGACTTCTCAACCCTGCGTTTGCCCCACTCCGATCCCTCCAGGGTTCCAGAAAGGATCGGGTGTATGGACATGGTTCCTCAGCTGCTTCTTCTCGGCATTGCACGATGAGGGCTGGTGAGGAACATGCACCAGTTCAACTTCCTTGTAAAACACCAGTGTCCCCTTGTTGACAGCATGTCCCAGGACATTGCACTCCTCGTGAGACGCGGTTTGGAGATGTGCTTTCTTTTAATCATGTGTTTTATTGGTTGTTTGCTTTTTTTTTGTTGGTTTTTTTTTTTTTTTTTTTTGTTTGTTTGGCACAGAGAGTTAGCTGAAGCAAGGAGACTGCGTGCCTAACTCAATAACGGAGAAATTAGCACCCTACAAAGCCCAGGACTGCATGGTGTTTATTGATTGTTTCTCTTAAATATAAGCAGTGTAGCTCAGAATGTCAGGCATTCAAGGGAAGAGGAGACTGAAGAACTCATGTACTCCAGGTAATGAATAATCGTTAAACTCCAAAGGAGTTTATTATTATTACCATTAATTCTAGCTGTACAGTGCCCAGCGAATGGAAGTTGGAGATAGATGGGTTCATGACCTACACATTACAGGCTATATTTTATCCTGGTAATATGAGAAAATCAATCATTTCTTAAGTGGGAATACTGATAAAACCACTGACTTCAGTGGAGCAACATCTTTGCTACTCTGTGATCAACAAGCTCACTGGAATGATGTGGAGGAGGGTTGAATCCTTCTTCTGTATATCTTAACCTCAGTTTGCCCCATTTCCAGGAGGCAGGAGGGAAGCAGTTAACACCATCCAGTGTTCATGCCTTCGTTTCTGGGCAGGATTTCCCCTTTGCGCTAACCCACTCCTGTGCAGGTTGGAAACCTTCCCATCCCATTTGTTGTCCCCCTGAGCTTTTTCATAACCTGAAGTCAAGAAATTGCCAAAAGTGAAGGAGAGCTATAGAAAGACCCCTCCAGCCATAGCATGGGTGGCTCAACAGTCAGAGGTTTAAAGTTGTTCCTTTAAAGTGGTTTGGACCAAGAATAAAATATTGTCATGATGTGGGAACCCCACTCTTCTTCACACTCCCCAAATTACTCAAGTGTGTTCCTTTATAACTCACAGTGTTACAGAAATGCCCTGAGGAAGAGGGCTTATTCCTCTCCTGGAAGATA